ACAAAAAGCAATGTAGAAAATGGACTTTATTTGTAAGGAGGTACCATAAGGAGAAACACGAACACAACAGAGTAAGTAGAGCTTTGTGAGTTGACTGGAAGCTTAACTTTAGTTTCGATGGTGCAAAACGGTCTGATCAGTTGTAAGAGATCATGCTTTTCAGTTTCATTTTCCTAATTCTCGAGTTCACCTGCTTCAAAACGTCACGCTGGGTAGCATCGGCGATAAGATCGCTCCAGTTTGGTGCCTGGGTGAAGCTGTTTGCCTTGAGCACCACGTAAAGTACCGATTTGGCGCGGGTCAGGGCGACGTTCATGCGCTGCTGCGATTCGACGAAGCCCACCGAGCCTCGAGAGCCATCCCAGGCACGAACACAGCTGAGAATGACAATGTCCCGCTCCTGGCCCTGAAAGGCGTCCACAGTGTTCACGTCAATGTAGTTAGGCAATTCGCCATTAAAAAGTTTTGTCAGTTGTTTAATTAATTCGTCTTTCTGTCCTCCGTAAAATGTGATGATCCCAATGGTGAAGTCATTCAACGTTTCGGGAACTTCGTCAATCAAATTGTATCCAAGAGTATAAAAAATCGTCTCAATAAGGCGACACACAAAGGCCGCCTCTTGAACGTTGTACTTGCTGAATGATGCCGTATTTGCCTCTTTTGAGTTGCACACATCAAAGACCAAATAAGGATAAACTGGAATGTCCTCATTCCAGCCAGTTTTGCTCGTTTCCAGTTGATCATTGTAGAACTTCCAGGAGGGAAACCGACAAATCTCTTCCACCATTCTGTACTGACGTTGCAACGTTATCACCGGACTGGCAGAGTAGCCATTTTGAAACTCGGTGTTTTCCAGGTGGCGGAAGAAACGCTCAAACATCGATCGACCGTAGCCTTTGTCCAGAGCATAGTTAGATTTGACAGTAGCGGGTAGTTGCAGGTGATCACCAATTAGAATTAGTTTTGAGGTCGGGTAGACGAGCGGCATCAGTAGCTCCGGTTCTGTAGACTGACCGGCCTCGTCGATGATGATACAGCGAAATGGATTGCCTTCCCTAAAGACTTTCATATAGTCATTTTGAACACTGTTTAGTGTACTTAGGATGACATGAGCACTTTGTAACACTATTTTCTCTCTCTTCTTCCGTTCTGCAAAGCTTTGTGCGCTGCTCACTATTGACTGTAGGTGACGACCTACCACTTGTGAGTGGACTTTGTCAAAGTTACCAATTCGAACGATCCTCAAGCTAGTTTCCAGTAGCCGGAGTGCAATCGCATCAATAGCGCCATTGGAGGGCGTGCAAATGAGAATGCGGTCAGGTGTTGATGTGAAAGTGTGGCTTTGCAGCAGCAGACTCTTCACAATGGCCACCAGTGTGTGCGTCTTACCGGTGCCAGGTGGACCTAGTAAAAAGACCAATTTATAAATTTTAAATCAATAAACGAGTTTTCTTACCTTGTATCATCACCGTTCGATTTAAATGCTTTTTCTGGTTTACTGCATTAAAACAGGCAACAATAGCGTTTTTTTGCTTGCTATTAAACTTTGCCGGGCCATCAGGCATTCTAAAATTGTCAGGTCGCTCAAAATTAGTTGCAAAAACGCTACGATTAGGATTGAGAAAAGCATTTTTAAAATCCGTTTTGTAGCACATAGACGACAGCGTTTCAACTTGACGAAGAATGGGTCGAATATAACAAATCGGTGTAATAGTTAGGGTATTCATGCTGTTTTTAAGAAGCGTCTGTAAAACTGAACTGTTGAAAACTTCTACTGTGTATTCTACTATTTTAAATTTATCAGAATGTAGTCGATTTTTGTATGAATTGAATTCTCGATTCGGATCCTCTTTTTTTAGCTTCCAGTTATAGTTTAAAACTAAACCCAAAGCTGTTTTTGTTTTATTTGCAAGAACAGTAGGTTCTCGACTCTTTTTGACTTGTACAAGAACAAGATTTTCTTCAATTTTGTACTCTTTATCATGAAGATATTTCCATTTGATTTGTGTTCTCAAATAGAGTAAACGACGTTGTCCCTTAATTTCTGTGTGGTGCAGTTCTAACTTTAATGGCAGTTTTTCTACTCGTTTTTCTTCATCCTGCTCAAAGAAGTCACTGACAATCTGTGCCCAACCATTGTAGAACATCAGCGATAGATAGTACTGCTTGTACATGGAAAGAGAATCATAAGTCAATGGCAACTCACTCAATTTGTGGATGAACATGTTTTTAGCCAAAATGTGATTGGTGATCAGCTCTGTAGTTTTCTTTTTATCATTTTTTGAACTGTCCACTCGTAAAGCGGCCAAATCAAGAGAAAGAAGTGCCATGAGAAATGCTTCTTTGTCATTTTCGTAGACAGTATCTATGTCCTTTGGTGGCGGAGAGTAGTCATAGGCATCGTAGAAGGAACGCATTGTGTTTAACAAAACAGACCTTCGTTGTTCTGTTTGTTCGGAGAGAAAAAGCCGAGCAATGGGCAATATTTCATTTTCCATTGTGGTCAATTTGTCTATTGTTTGTGGTTTTTGTTGGTTGACCGAAGGTGTTGTTGCGTTGATGATGGCGATGGAAATAAAAAACCTACGCCTAGTTATAAGCGGAAGAAATCACAAACAGTTGCCTACGATGTAGCCCCAGTGTAGATGCTACTTGAGAGAAGTATGTGTAGTGTTGAGATAAGATTCTATGACGGTTGGCACGACATTTCCAAGAAAAGAGAAAAGAAGAGGTAGAAAAAATACCATGGTAGAAATGGTAGAAAGTAAAGAATGGAGTGTGCATCTAATAGCAGAAGAGAACGTCGTTTGTACAATTGCCAGGTGCTTTTTCCAAAAGTCAGAAAGTAGAACATATATAGTTCAGATCTGATCCAACAGGTTGTTGCATCATACCCACCAAAAACTTGAACAAACAAAACTCATTTTTAAAAACTACTGAAAAGTACTGCTTTAATGAAGATTAAGAAAATCCAAACAAATTAAAACCACTTACAATAACCTGAAAATATCAGTTAGTGACGATTACAATACACTGCTGCAAAAGCAAGAACTACAACAGCTACTGAAAAATACAAATCAATCAGAAAAAAGGAACTGGAAGTAAAAACAACAAAAAAAGTGTGAGTATGAACACAGCAGAGGTACAGTAAGTAAAGTCCTTGTGCGTTGATCAGGGAAAAAAAGAGGAGATCCGTTTGTTATGCAACCAGTGAAAAGGAGTGAGGCTGAAAATTCAGATCTGACTAGTCCACAAGTGAGATCATACGTTCAAGTTGAGCCTTGGTCTCTTTGGACTTCACGCGCAGAAGGCGGTTCCGTTCAGTAGCGTCAGCGAGAAGCTCAGCCCAGTTGGGCGCCTGGAGGAAGCTGTCCGCCTTGATGGCGACGTAAAGTGCCGATTTGGCGCGCGTCAGCGCCACATTCATGCGTTGCTGCGACTTGACAAAGCCCACCGTGCCTCGAGAGCCGTCAAAGGCACGGACACAGCTGAGGATGACAATGTTCCGCTCCTGCCCTTGGAAGGCGTCCACGGTGTTCACGTCAATGTAGTCAGNCCACAGAAGGCGGTTCCGCTTAGTAGCGTCAGCGAGAAGCTCAGCCCAGTTGGGCGCCTGGAGGAAGCTGTCCGCCTTGATGGCGACGTAAAGTGCCGATTTGGCGCGCGTCAGCGCCACATTCATGCGTTGCTGCGACTTGACAAAGCCCACCGTGCCTCGAGAGCCGTCAAAGGCACGGACACAGCTGAGGATGACAATGTTCCGCTCCTGCCCTTGGAAGGCGTCCACGGTGTTCACGTCAATGTAGTCAGGCAGCTGCTTGCCGCCGAGCAGAGTCGTCAGCCGTCTGGTGAGCTCCTCCTTCTGGCCACGGTAAAACGTTATGATTCCGATGGTGAGGCCATCCAGGGATTGAGGCGTTTTTTCCTTGCCCAGATCCTCGTAGCCTAGTTTGGAAAAGATGGCGGCGACAAGGCGGCAGACAAAGACCGCCTCTTGGACATTGTAAGTGCTGGCTCGAGCCGTCTTGGCCGTTTTCGCCTCCTTGGTGTTGGCCACGTTGAAGACCAGGTATGGATCAAGGGGGACTCGCTCATTCTCCCCCGTTCCCAGAGGCGTCTGCAGTTGATTGCTGTAAAAGTGCAGCGAGGGAAAGGCGCAAATCTCCGCGTGCATTCGGTACTGGCACTGCAGGGTGATCACCGGGTTTGGCAAGTTTGAAGTCTCAAAGTGGTGAAAGAAGCGCTCAAACATCGACCGGCCGAAGCCTTTGCCTTGGGCGAGGTTGGAGATGACGGTGGCGGGCAGCTGCAGGTGGTCGCCAATCAGTATCAACTTGCTGGTCGGGTAGACGAGCGGCATCAGCAGCTCCGGCTCCGTCGACTGGCCGGCCTCGTCGATGATGACGCAGCGAAAGGCCGGTTGAGGCGGCCCAGAAAACCTGTCCTTCTTGAAGGTGTACGAGATATCGTGCGAAATGGAGCTTCGAAACATGTTCATGCAGATAGACTGAACGCTGTTTAGCGTGCTGAGAATCACATTAGCCTGGGTCAGCAGCTTCCTCTCCTCTTCAAACTTTTCATGCGGCTTCAACGCCTTGCTGACCAGCATATCAAAGTGACAGTGGGCCACATCTGGGTGCACCTTCTCAAAGTTGCCGATGCGAATTAGATTCAGAAATGACCCATAGCGCTTTAGTAGGCGCATGGCAATCGCATCAATAGCTCCATTGGAAGGCGTGCAGATGAGAATGCGATTAGGAGTCGAGGTGAAAGCATTCGTGTTCAGAAGAAGACTTTCCACGATGGCCACCAGTGTGTGCGTCTTTCCAGTGCCCGGAGGTCCTAGAACAAAGAGAAAATTTTGTTATTTTTGTTAGTTTTCCATTTTACACTGCAGCTTACCTTGTATCATCACCGTTCGATCCGACCCATTCCCAGAGCTAACGGCATTGAAGCAGGCAAAAGTGGCGTTTCTCTGCTGCTCATTTGCACTTCCGAGCGAATGAAAACAGCCACCAGAGGGTTGGCGAAAATTAGGCGCAAAGATGGCCCGATCCGGGTTGAGAAAAGCGCCATTGAAACCCTCTTTTTTGTTCATTGACAAAAGCGTCTCCACCTGACGAATGACCGGTCGAATGTAGCTGATTGGGGTGATGATCAGAGACTTCTGGCGCAGCAACAGCATCCTCGCG